CTGTCAGCAGGGAACAGGGGAAGAGGGGCCCAGCTGTGGCCTTGACTTCACTCCCCCAGCCAGGGCCAGGCTGTCCAGGTCTTTTCTCCCCACTTCGGCCTGGAAGAAGAGGCTGAACGAAGATCCCCCAGAGGCTCCGGGGTCAGCAGGCCCCAAAGTGAGAGGTGGGCCCCTTAGCTCTTCTACGTGTGTATCACACTTCAACAAAACGTTATAAAAGGAGAGAGAGAGAGAGAGAGAGAGAGACAAAGAACCCAACCTAAAATGAAACCTGACCCAAGGAACAGAAGGACATTCATCCTAGTTACTTCATGCAGAAGAGCAATTTAACGAAAGCATTAAGTTGGAAAAAAAGAGATTTTTTATTTTATTTATTTTTTTTTTTAATTTTTTTTAACGTTGTATTTATTTTTGAGACAGAGAGAGACAGAGCATGAGCAGGGGAGGGTCAGAGAGAGAGGGAGACACAGAATCGGAAACAGGCTCCAGGCTCTGAGCTGTCAGCCCAGAGCCTGATGCGGGGCTTGAACTCACGGACCATGAGATCATGACCTGAGCCGAAGACAGACGCCCAACCGACTGAGCCACCCAGGCGCCCCAAAAAGAGATTTTTTAAATGAAATAAATTATCTAAGGAAAAAATTTAAATGTTTGTTTATTTATTTAAAGTTTATTTGTCTTGGGAGAGAGAGAGCGCAAGCAGGGGAGGGGCAGAGAGAAACAGAGAATCCCAAGCAGGGTCCACGCTGCCAGCGCAAAGCCCAACGCAGGGCTCCATCTCATGAACTGTGAGATCATGACCTGGGCCGAAATCAATAGTCAGACACTCAACCCACAGAGCCACCCAGACGTCCCTATTTAAAGAAAAAATTTTTTTAATTTTAAATTAAAGGGGTGTCTGGGTGGCTCAGTGGGTTGAGCGTCCAACTTCAGCTCAGGTCATGATCTCACGGCTCGTGAGTTCAAGCCCCGCATCGGGCTCTGTGCTGACAGCTGAGCCTGGAGCCTGCTTTGGATTCTGTGTCTCCCTCTTTCTGTGCCCCTAACTCACTCGCATTCTGTCTCTGTCTCTCCCAAAAATAAATAAACATTAAAAAAATTTTTTTTAATTTTAAATTAAAATTGTAAAAGAGAGAAAATGCAGATCAAAGCATTATCACTGAAATAATAAAAAAAGAAATAGCCAGAAACAATTTTCTAAGGTAAAAATTACCAACAAATAGGAAAGGCTTGAGATGCTCACAGAAATTCAGAAGAGACAGAAAGATGAAAGCAATTAGAAGTGAATGGATGGGGAAGGCAAGAAGACACGACCTAACATCAGGTAATGGGTGCAGAAGGCAGAATGATCTCACCCACCCCCACAGGGTACCCACACTCTGATGTTCACAGTGTGACTCCATTAGGTTACATGGCAAAGGGGCATTAAGGCTGCCGAAGGAATTAGGTTTGCTGATCAGGTGACTTTAAAATACAGAGATTATCCTGGATTATCAAATGGGCCCCAGCGCCATCATAAGGGCTCTTACAAGCAGAAGAGGGAGACTGAGTCAGGCTGCAGCGGTGCAGCTAGAGAAAGGAGGCAGTGTGGAAGGCGAGAATGGGGCTTGGAGCCAGGGAGTGCAGAAGGTTCTAGAAGCTGGAAAAGGCAAGCCAACAGACTCACCGCCAGCACCTCCAGAAAGGACGCAGCCCCTGTCGACACACCTTGACCTTAGCACAGGGACACTGGGCCCACCCAGGATTGTCAGGTAAGAAATCTGTGTTTTACCTAAGTTTACGGCAATTTGCTCAGCAGTCATAGAAAACCAATACAATTGGTGTCTCTGAAGCAGAAACACCCATCAGTGTAACAGAAGATGTTTTAGGAACATAAAGTAAATTTCCCCGAAATTAAAAAAAAAAAAAAAAAGCCGGCAAATTCAAAGAGTACACAGTGTATCAGAAGTTCAACACCAAGCATTCAACTTTGAGACACTCCAACTAAAAAGAAAAGGCTAATCTACCCCCACCCCACCCCCACCCCACCCCCACCCCGGGGGGAAGGGAGGCAGGGGAGCCAGCTGACCTCAGGCTCCAGCACCCACATCCAACCCCAGGGCCATCCAACCCCAGGGCCCTGGAACAATGGCTACAAAGTGTGGCAGGAAAGAGAATACCACCCGAGAATCTATTGTAACCTGTCGGAGATACTGTTCACAGATAAAGACAACAGACATCCTCAACCATGAAAGCTCTCAGGAAATACCAGCCCTTCCTAAAAAATGAAATGTGGCTAATTAGAGGGACAGCAAAATAAAGAACTCACACACACAGTGGTGGTGAAGACTCATAGTCAGCACCCAAGACACTTGAACATCTAACTAGTACCAAGCAGCTATGGACACGGCAGCCCAGGTTCAGAAACCCGGGCAAAGTAAGAGCCACACAGGCTGCATGCACAGGTTGGGGGTGGGGCGGGGATGGAGAGACTTGCTGAAAAGCGCTCTCCTTCCAACGCCCAGAAGGGATGCAGAATGACCCACGGAAATAATAACGTAATTGATGCCAACTTCATGCAATTTTGTGGAAAGTGTCTTTTTCACCTAAATCCTCCCCTCTGTGTTGAGGAAAAACCTTTATTTTTTTATTAAAAGAATTTTTTCAATGTTTATTTTTTTATTTTTGAGAGAGAAAGAGAGAGAGAGAGTGCGAGCAGGGCAGGGGCAGAGAGAGAGGGAGACACAGAATCTGAAGCAGGCTCCAGGCTCTGAGCTGTCTGTCAGCACAGAGCCCCATGCGGGGCTGGAACCCACAAACTGTGAGATCATGACCTGAGCCAAAGTCGGACCCTTAACCAACTGAGCCACCCAGGTGCCCCTGAGGAAAAACCTTTAGAAGAAAGTGTTAACCAGTTGCTTCTACAAGTCCTCGGCTGGGCTTGTGACACAAAGTGGTGCGTCAGAGCAGCCCCAAGGCGCTGTTCAAACCAACCAGAAGGGAGCTCTGCCCACATTCCTGCTAAGTGCCCCACATCACTCACCCACTATAGAACTCAAAACCACAGCTGCCCCCCCCCCCCACCCCCAGGCACACAGATTTATAAGAACCGTGCATCTCTTCTGTGCTCATCCATCCATGGAGCCCCAGGCTCTGCGGACCCCCGCCCTTTGCCAGCTTAAGCCCCAGAGCTGGGCTGTCCAGCAGGGCTCTACCACATCTGTCACTAGCCAAGCGTCGTGCTGAGCGTGTGAAATGTGGCTAATAGGAACCTTTAATTGTATTTCATTTTAACTGCCCTAAATTTAAAAAGTCACACGTGGCTGATGGCATCGCCTTGGAGAACACAGTTCTGGAATCAGTGGCCAAATGTGGATTTTCACAAGGCCCTGGGGTGAAGAGTCCGTGGTTCTCCAAAACCACCCCAAGCTCTCCCCCACCCCTCCAACCTCCTAGGCCTGCCCCAGGCCACCCAGCAGCTGCTCTGTTCCTTGCTCTGGAACCACAGACTCCCTCCCTCAGCCAACCCTGCAGGCCACTTTTTCTCTTTACATCCCTCACCCCCACCTTGTGCCCTACCACAACCTTTGCCCTGGACTCCCTGCCCCTCTTGCCTCAAGTCAAGTTTATCTCTGGATCCAGGACTTCCCCCTGTGCACTGTCTTCTCAATTCTGCCCTGCCTGGTCAGGGCAGGAAGCAAACCTAGGCTGGCTTGAACATCAAGATTCCACTCCCTGGGCTGCCCTCCTCGGTTCCTGGGGAACAGACTGCAAGGCCAGGAGATAGGGGGGGTAGGACCCTGAGCAACCAGGTATGGCTGCAAGTGTGCCTTCTGTCCCTGGAATGTCCCCCGAAAGTGATGGCAGGAGGTGCCCTTCACAGCCACCCAACCTGTGCCATCAGAGCAGCCTGCTGGGTGAAGACCTTGGCTCTCCTGCCTCCCTGCCCAGGTTTCTGCCCACTTCACCTTCCTCTCCTCTCCTCTCCCCTGCCCTGCTTTCCCGCCTAATGTCTACCCGGCCTTGGGGGCTGCGGCCCTCAAACCTCAAACTTTGGGAACCCTCCGCCCACTACGCTCAGCTTTGAGTCCTGAGCTCCCCTGGACCTGGAACCCACTCTCCTTCATTTCACACCAGTGTTTGCCTTCCTCGGCCCCGAGGGTCATTTGGGTTTCCTGCCCTCCTGGGCTTGTTCACCAGGGCGAGAAGCCCCTCAGACTCGCCAAGAGCCCTGGAGAAGCCTCCAGACTAGTTCTCCCGCTTCCTCCCCGCTTCCACTCCACCCACGCGCAGAGCCACCACCTGGGAGCCTCCGCCCGCTGCGCTCTGATCCCGCTCCCAACCCCGCCCGCCTGTTCCATAACCCCCACGCATCCTTTCCAAACGCGTCTCACGCACTGGCGGTCTCCCGGATGGGCCCACTCACAGCAGCCCAGCCGACCTCCTCCCCAAACCCCACCTGCGAGGTCCGCTCCCTTCCGCCTCGTAGACATCCCGGGCCGAAAGGACCCCAGCGTCCAGTGCAGCCGCTAGTTCCCGCCGGGAAGCCGACTTTGATGAGGCTATGGAGGACGCGCTGTGTTCCCCACGTGCGGAAACCGGGGTGTAGCCAGGGCAGCCCGAGTAGCGCGCGCCCGACCCAGGCAGAGAGGCGGGTGGGGAGCCCCGCGCTCCCCAATCGCCGGCCCCTCGCGCACTCCACACCCTCGGCCCCGCTCGCGGTCCCTGGCTCTGCGCCCCCAGTTCCTCGGTGCGCTACTCCGGTGCCTGGGCCCGGCTTCCCCCGCCCGCTGCGCGCTCTCCAGACCCGCTCCGCTCGGTCCCCTTGAGCTTCTTGGCCCGCCGCTCGCTCCCAGGCCCCCTGCGCACTCCCCGGGCCCCGCTCCTCCCGGAAGGCCCCCCGTTCGCTCCTCGGCCCCCCGTTGGCTCCCCTGGCCCCCGCGCGTTCTCCGGGTCTCGCTCCTCCCGGCCCGCCGCGCGCTCCCCCGCTCTGCTCCCCTCCAACCTGGCCCCGCGCTCACCCGCCGGGTGGCCGTACGGGGACTCGGCCGCGCCATCCTGCAGGCTCGCCAGGATCTCGCCTTTGCCCACGTCGCTGTCGCCCACCAGCAAGAACTTGAGCAGGAAGTCGTAGGCGCGGACCGGGCTGCCCAGGGTGCTGCTCATCGTGCCGCCGCCGGCGCCGGCGCCCATGCCCGGCCCACGGGACGGTGCAGAGGCGGCGACCGGGCACCGAGGCGCTGAGCGGGCCCAGCCGTCCGCAGATCGCCGCGCGCCCCCGGCCCCCGCAGCTGACAGCGCGCGGCCCCGCCCCGCCACGCCATTGGCGAGACTCAGTTGCTAGGGGTGCTGCGCGCGCTCATTGGCTGGGATGCCCGTCCATCTCTCTTTCGTCTCCGCCTCCAGGCCGACGTCCACCCGCTCCTCCTGGGAGGATGAGGTCGTCCCTGCCAATGCAGGCTGATGGGCGGGGCGAGGGAGGGGCTGAGGACAAGGTTGTTACGGCCACAGCCAATGAGGTCCCGAGGCGGGGTGGGGCGGAGCCAGGGGCGGGGAGGCAGCGGGTGGAGCCGGGCCTCGCACTCCCAAGGAGCCGGGAGGGCGGTGCTGGGCCCGGGTCGGGGCGGGGCAGCAGGGGAGGGCTACCCTGCTGCCGCGGCCTCCACGCCCTGTCACCCACCTGGAGACGTCGCTAGGCCGGGTGGGGGAGCCACACGGGCGAGTTCCGTTTTCGGACGTGCGGTCGGGAGGCCAGGGCCAGGTCGCCTTGTGTCAAAGTTCCCTGTCCTGGTGAGCCCGGGCTCGCCGTGGCCCCACCGCTCCTCCAGAGCCTCGTCTTTGTCCCGGAGTGCGTGGGTGCACGTGCCTATGTGCTTATCGATGTGCATCTATGTGCCTCCGCTTGTGTGCGTGTGTGTGCGCGCGCGCAAGTGTCTATGCACGTGCGTCTGTGTGCGTTTACAGGTGCTGTGTGAGTGTGTCTGTGCAGGTGCTGGGGGAGAGGACAAGGTAGGGACTCTGCAGTCCCCAGACTTCTCTCACCATCCAGGGCCCTGGGGAGAGATTGGCCCGAATTGCTCTCAGGCCCAATCCCAGAACTCCCATGTAGGGATTGGCGCTGGTGGGAATCAATCCATGCCTATCTTGGGATCAATCAACTGTAGTAGGGGGCTCTGGCCCGCAACCCACAGGAAAGGTCCTGTATGCTTGGCAACCCTGTATCCATTCATTAGAATGTATCTTAATATGCGTAACCAAGGTCCCCACCTGACGACCCCCAGGGTCCTACCTCGAGGTGTGGTTGGATCTGGCGGTGCACCCTGTGCTGGGCAGAGGGGGGTCTGCATGCCATCTAATTAAAATGGCCCGCTCGCACGCCCTACATCTCCACATGCGGGGCTAACTGTCCCCAGCGCCAGGAAAGGTGCAATGACTCCCTTGGCGCAATGGACTCCCTTGGTGCATTCATAAGCACCAGGTGAAGCAGCAGGTGCAGATTCACAAACACACACAAATGCTGAGAAGCCTCTATCTGGGCCGGTTGCAAACAGAAGGGGCCTGTCTTCACCAGCTTGGGCTGCTGTGACAAAATGCCCTAGGTTGGGGGCTTAAACAAGCAGACATTTACTTCTCACCATTCTGCAGGTTAGAAGTCCTGACCAAGGTGCTAGCTGTTTTGGTTCCTGGTGAGACCCTCCTCCTGGCTTGCAGACAGCTGCTTTCCTACTATGTCCTCACACAGTGGGGGGAGAGAGAGAGAGAGAGAGAGAGAGAGAGAGAGAGAGAGAGAGAGAGAGAGAGAGAGAGAG